TGGTATTTGCCATGCACAAATAAACATGTGCTTTGTTTAATAACCATAACTATTCTGGTATGGCAATTTTAGCAATTTCAATATGGAAAATTTTTAAAAATTACTACTTTATTAAATATTATTATTAAAACTGATTCAAAAATACAAGATCATCATAGTAAACAAAAAAAGCAAATGTCATAACTAATAATTAATGATGACTAACTCTGGTAATAGATTATTTTTGTTATTTTTAAAGGAAAGTGTATGATAGTTTCTTACATAAACAATTAACCAAATCTCTGTTTAATTTAGGGTCCTCAAAATGGTCAATAAGGCATTTTCAGGGGTTAATTCAATAAAAATTGTTGGTTTAATGGTTTTTTTTTAATTCTTTGACCTGTAGACACAAAGAGCTGTGCAATGGGTTATGTACTGTATATAAAAGTCTCATATATACATACTCAGGCCATGAAGATAAATGAAAATTTAAACTAAATTACAGTAGAGCGTCGTTTATCCGAATCAACTGGGGACTGGGGTGGTTCGGATAACTTATTTTTCGGATAATGAATCATGTACGAAAAAATATATTAATTTATCCCATGCTGAAATTGTTAAATTTTCGTCGATGTTAAGCCTAACGAAGACTATTGTATCATTAAAAATTATTTTTTTATTTTGTACAAACAAAATAAATATATTGAAAAATATAAAAACAATAAAAAATTATACTTCAGATGTTAATTTAGTATCAAAAACGTAAAATATTTGAGTAGCCCAAGAAATAGCCGAAGATTGCAGCGCCACAGCAATAGAAAAAATTTAAATTTGCCAACTGGAATGCTTTCGGATAAAAGACGTTTCGGATAACCAGCTTTCGGATAAATGACGCTCTACTGTAATTATTTATGTGAAAAATAATTTTAAATTAAAAACACTTTGTTCCAGAAATTATTATAAATTCTATTTTTAAGTTACTCCAAAAATTATTTTAAACTAAACACAATTTTTTGGGATATAATTTAAACTTAATTTAAAATTATTTTTTGAATAAATCAAACTAAATATTTAATTTGTTTAAGAAATGATTTAAACTGCTTTGTATTTTATACAAAAAAATAATTTTAGACTGTAGACATAGTTTATTCGTAAAACCTTGTTTGATTAATTTATCCATTTTGTTCTGCATTTCATATACTTGAAGATGTCCATTATATACAGATAAAAACATTAGTAAAAATTAGTAATTTGAAGTATGCTGGTATAGTAGGTGTCTTATATGTGTTTAAACGAAAGTTTTTTCAAACAACAAATTTATTCATTTTGATGCTGCATAGAAATGTGAAGGGAGAAATTGTCTTTTCCAAATTTTATTGAAATATCATTTATCATATATTTGTCTTTTGATGAAGAAAATTTATTTACTCATCTCATATCTGCATTTCCATAACCTTTAAACAGTTACTGCTGAATTTATTAAAATTAATTTTATTACTTTTCTATAGAAATAAAAAGAGTTATTTATATTGACAGTGTAACATTGAACAATCAACTATATGCCATTAAGTTACAAGGTCACATCTGACTGCAACAGACAAATTGTTTATTTTACAAAATTCCAATGTAAAAAAAAAATATATATATATATATAAATATGAATGTATATAAAAAGTACATCAGGTACTTTTTTGTTTGTTTGTTTCTTCAAAATGACTCTAATTTTCATTTTGATTTATTTTGAAAAAATGAGTCAAATTCAAAGCTCAGATTGATTATACAGCCAGCAGGTTGATAAATACTTAATAAAATAACCTTTAATTAAGCTACTATATATTATGGCAAATATTGCCATGGTACTGTACATAAACATTTGTGCTATTCTGAGATGAGACAAAGGTTATAAGATTATATACAGACATTATCTGGTAAAGTTTCTTACTTAGAGTTTATATTACACTAATGCCACGTGATTTCCAGTACAGCTTTAACAGATTATACAGTTGAAAAAATTTTTGAAGGTATAATTCATGAATCATCACTAAAAAAACAATAAATCAATGTTTATCTGAACATGACATTTATTTAATTTAAACAGCCTGTTTCGCAAATATATCTATTTCATGGAACAAGACATACTTAGATGTAACATGATTAGTCACACAGCATGATCACATGTATCTCTGATACAGTACAGCTTGCATAGCACCTGTCCATAATGCAAGCAACCATATCATATTATATGATAGACAAACTGGCAAAATACAAGACCAATTTCTCTCAATTTGGTAAACATTTAAATTTAATTAAAATGACTACATTCCAATGCATTCAGCCATTGAATTTCATGTTACGAAAGATAAAAATATCCAAAATATTAATTCCAAAATTATCAAGTGTTCTTATTTAAGTGATTTATTCTGTATAAAATCATATTTAACACTTTCTACATTACATTTAAATATTCTATATAATCTCAATAGCTTTTAGAAAAATTACAAATTTTGTTACTTTAACGAAATAGTGTTTATTCTCTTGATTTTAATGATGTTAAACTTATTATATTTAAATTTGTGATTTAATTTATCTTTCTCATAAATCATATTAATGCCATATATGAGCATGTCCTTAAATTCAATATTTTTTAAAAGTACCTTAAAAAAACAATATTAAAATATTGTCAATTATTCAGTTTAAACTGATTTTTACATCAAGTTCATCAATACTTTGATAAGTGTTGCACTTTTAGAAAAATAAAATATCAGTGATTTACTGTATTAGTGAATGTATGCTTTGAACAAATATATTATTGGCATATATATTTAAAATATACTGTTTTTTTATGTAGAATGCCATCATTTGAGTAACCATTAGTGATCATATTGGTATAAGATCTTTTTCATTCAATCCTAGATATTTTTTTATATTAGTACAATCATAACATAAAAGTTTGTTAAAATAATTCAGAAAAGTATAATTATACTACAAAAAATAGATGTGAAAGGTGACAAACAATTTTTTTATATATTCATAAAACTCATTATTATAATAAACAATGACAAACAATGTTTTCATTATATTTTGTTGATAATGATTGATATATCATCCTCATCTGTTAAATAGAGCAATAAATTAAATATCAATTTATAAACAGCTGCTTCCTTTTATTTTTATGTGTTATTCAATTAAAACATATCATTACCTATTTAACCCAAAAATAGTTATTAATAAATACATGAATCATTATTAATCTTGTTTTTAAAAATATCTCTAGCTTTATGTAAATGTAAAAGTGAATTGTACTTGTAAATAAAATACAGATCTACATAATTGCATGCTTTGTAATTAATGTAATTTACAATTTACATTTAATCTACAATATAATATATTTTTATAATTAAAATTAATTTTTAAAATTTATCTNAATAGTTACATAATATTGAAAGCTAATCATGAAAATGGTAAAATGGTAATTATGATGGAAGTTTCACATACGCAATGTATTCATATATTCCTACATGATCCTCAAAAATATCAAAAACTTCCAGTTAAAGACCAGTCAAGATTGCAAAGGACTGCTTTAATCTTAATACATTGAGTTCAAGAATGCACACTACTTGTGACAATATTACTGTAAGTATTATGTCAATTAACAATTAAAGAATTAAAAGCTGAATGTACAGTACATATAACAATAAGTTTTTGCAAAGTGAATATTTCAATACTAAAAATGCAAACTAAATATTTCCAGATTTGTTTTAGCTAACATAATGCTATATTTTTTAATCAAATCATTTATGAAATTTTGACTAGAGTATATACTACTGTAATTTCATAAGTGTCTTAATAACTAAAATTAATTTCAATTTAATTAATAATTTGGAATTATTTACAACTTATTAACCCAAAATTTGACAATTACATCGTATAATCAGCATATAAATTTCACGCTTCGGTTTGTATATTTTCAAACATTTAAATCTTTAAAATTGAAAACAAATATTTTAATGGTTTGAAATTCATAAATTTTTTTTAATACTGTACTGCAATAGTTTTTGGTACAATCTCCCTGAATATTTAATGTGATTTTTAAATGACATTTTATATAATTATTATATCAACTTTTATAGTTTAAATCAGTGTTTTTTAACCACCAGTCCACGAAAAAATTTCAACAATCCACAGAAAAATATTTGACCATACCGAAGATGGCGTAATTGATTACGGGTGTCATCTAAACATTAATCTAGAGCCACTCTATGTACCTTGTTACGTACAGTAACTCTAGATAAGTGTAAATACGCATAATGCATATTTGCTTATAATTACTCGAGCCGCGTAAAATTATCCGCGGCGAGAAAAGGGTTGAAAAACACCGTTTTAAATCACACATTGTAGAAACAACTCAACCATAAAAAAAATATAATAAAATTAAATAAATCTTGCTATCAACCCTTTTTTTCAGCCTGAAAAAATTTAATCTAAAGTAACAAAACTGAGATATGTTTGTTTACTGGAACTAAGATACTACCTTCTGTTATGTAAACAAACATTGGAGATTTAAAAATAACGAGAATGGAATTATGAAGAATCATATATAATCAGCATTTAATGATATTATTGTCAATGTCCGAAACGGCAAGAGCGTCGGACTCGATGTTAGGTTACTAATCAAAGCAGAAGAGACATCGTCCGAGTAATCCCCGCCTTTCCCAACAACCAATATGGCCGTCGGGGTGAATGGCGACGTAGCAACCACTTCCCCTTTCCTCCCCCCCTCCTTAGCAACCGAAAGCGGTGTTCGGAATAATCTTTCCGCAGTACGCATCTTCTCGGCTCTATCCCGGATAATTTCCGATGAAATTAGATTTGTAAAGTGTCCGAGATTGTTTAAGAACACTTAAGATAGGACGGCGAGCGGTGGCAGTGGCCGAAATGTCGTATTCGACATCCTGTATACTAAAAAATTCCAAACATCTAAAGAGGCCCATTAGGGTTGGCATACCAGTCATTAGGCTTACCTGTCCCGAGGATCTATCCATGTTGTTTTCTGATTGATATGATCGATGAAATATATTTTACCGTCGTAATCCCTGCCGATATCCCAACCTTCTGGCAATGGGATCTCTCCATTGCGCCTTTTAGGCATAGTTCGTTCGCAGAGAGTTCCCGACATCCAAACTACACTTGACCAAAGTCCGCCATCTTGAATACCTCATTTGCATAGGAATGAGTGACGTCATCGGGCAACCATCCGGAATCATCCAATGGAAAGGAATCGCTTTGGGATAAGCACTGACCAATCGCGACGAACTGAATGGAATGTGGACGATCTCGGTCCGAAACTGCATTGACGTCTTGTTTTTAGTTTCCGCTTAAATCTTTTACGTAAACTTTCTCTTGACTTACGTGTTAAATGTTTCTTAATTCGAAAATATGTAAATAATTAAAAAGAATATTCTGAGTAGTAAAGAAGTTTTAATGTATTAGAACATAGTTTTATCGGTATATCAGTCAAACATCTGTATTTTTTTAAATCAATTTAGTTAAACTGTAATAAAAAACTGTTCATTATATATAAAAAAGTTTATTTTATTTTTTTATTAAATTTTCAACTCAATGCAAAGGAAGTTTTTCTTTTTTGTTTTAATTTAAAAATCTTTCAATTGATAAGAGTTAAATAAAAGTTTATTTTATTTTTTTAAATATTTTTCAGCACTTAATGCATGTTTTGGGACTTAATGCTAAGGTTGGCCTTTACTTCTCAAAGAATCTATCTTTGATCATGAACATTGAAGATATTTATGTTACTTACTCTAAATTTATTTTTCAGTACGTTTCTTTTAAACCTATAACACATTGAACTGTTCAATGACTCCTGTTAACAATCTTTTTTATCTCACAATGATGAAGCATTAGTTCCCTTTCATATTGAGAAGATTGACTTCTGTGATGCCCTGCAATAAAAATAAAAAGAAACTTCACTAAAATTACTTCTTGACTTTCAGTAAACACTGATGATTGAAAGTGTATAATAACTATAAAGATATGCAAATTAGACAATGAAGAGCTGCAAGTGTATGTGTTTTATTTTGATGTTATTTATGAGATTTTGAAATTCAATTGTTAATTTAAATTTATAAAAATTAAAAATTAAAATTTATTCTTTTGTAATATTATTGTTTTAATACTTTTATTTTAAAATAAAATGAATTTAGTTAAAGTTTAAGGTTAAGTATTTTTTTTTAAGTAGGAAGAAACATTCAACATCTTAGGTATGACTTTCATTTTGAGTCACTATTTATATTTTTTAATTTCAGATTGCAAAATTAATTGGTATAGTAGAGGTGGGTAGTTCTTGTATGAAACAATTACAAGTTGGCAAAAGTTATATTGGAAAAATTAAGTTCCATCTTTCTTCAGGTAAAATTAGTATAAATTTATAATTAAGAATATTTACTTACTTAAAAACAGTTGATATACAGGATCATATCCTCTTGCAAGGGCACTCACTACAGAATACATCTGTACAAATTTAACATAAAAAAATTATTTACATTATATGAAATTTTAAAAAATTTTATAAAGAATTTATTTTATAAATGAAAAAAATTTAAATCTGTCCCATATATTATTTAGTAATGGTCACATGTGTGTTCTGTTTTTAATTTTCTAGTGAAATGTATGTAATAAAATGTGCCAGTATATCCATAAATACTTAACATTGTTTTAAAAATATTGAATATTCTTTTTTGTGTTAGGCTCAAAGAATGAAAATGCTCATTGAGCAAAAAAACGGCTACAGCACGTTGTGGTCTCTAAATCATCCACAACATGTGGCTGTTTTTACAGGTGCCACAATGCAATGTGACTAACTCAAAAAGACCACAAAGTGAAATTTGCATCGTGGCTTTCATGATATTTGACCACTACACATTTCAGTGATTAAGAAAAGCCATAATGCATTCTGAACGTTAGCTAATGCAACCACAATAGAGGGTGATACAATGCACTGTGGTTTGTTACTTTAAAATATGGGTTTTAGCCTCTAAACATTTTTATTTACAATTTTTATGCTGAACAACATTATTTGTACAAGTTTATCTATAAATTTAATTTTCATACTTAAAAAAGTTTCAAAGAAATAAAATATATGGAGAAAAATACACATTTGGATTTTTTGGTTTGCTTAAAAATGCTAAATTGCAAATCAAGCATCTACTATGTGTACTAGTAGGTGCTTGATGTACTCTACACAATGACATGAAAATCAGCTGCTAAAGTTAAAAACCACTGTGTAATGAATTTATTATGGTTAAAAGCCACCACAAGTTCTGGGATGTTAACTAATAATGAAGTGATGATAAGAAAATAAAATTTTCTTTTTCATTATGATTTATATATCTTCAATTATCTTATATAAGTAGGTAACAAAATTATTCACCACATACAGAAATGTAACTTGGTTACTTTTCAACAACATTTAATCATTCATGAAAATCTCTTGTGGTGCTTGAGATGTGTCAAACAACTAATTTACTAAACTAATTTGTGAGGAACTTTTATTAATAAATCAGTCTTTCTTATGAGAATCAAGAATGTTGCAGAGTTATTTATTTTTACAAGAACTATTACCATAATATTTTGAGTTGCATTTTATGTTCTTTGAGTGACATTTGCATTTTTATCAATACAGTATCTTTTATAGTGACACGTTTTAAACCCTTGCTTACTTCCAGATTAACCTTAACATGGATGCTGAGTAAAGTGTTAATGAAGTTGAGGGTATGTCCTGAATGTTTATAAAGTTACTCTCAGAAATTGTAAACTCATTACGAGCATAAAGTTGATCAAGAAGGCCTTCCTTGTTTCCTAACTGGTGAGACCTGATGGATTAATACTCATAACAACAGCTAAAACATTTCAGGGAGCTGCACGTCCTCTATTAAAATCAGGCACATTAACTAAAATATTTGAACCAATTTCAACTGTATGAAATTTTGAGTTGGATAATGAAATCATTTTATATACCTGTTTCTCTAGGCCAGTTTTGGCATATTCTCTCTTAGCATTGATGCTGTTCTTTCTTAAACAGAACTTACAAGTAACAAGTCCCTCATTCTCATTGCTTTCTCTGCAGATAACGTAAACATATTCATGGCACACTGAACACATGAGCTCCTGAGGTTTCATTTTAATTTGTGGTCTTTTTGAGTTAGTCACAATGCCATTGTGGCATTTGTTTTGCTCAATGAGTGTTTTCGATCTTTGAGACTAACATATATATTGTCTACTTGGAACTTGTTTATTAATAGGACTTATTGTAATGGTGAAGTTTCTGATTAGAAAAGAGAGATCTTAGTCAAAAAACAAAACATCTTTATTTTCACAGGATATTTTGCTAAACAATAAAGTTAAATAAAGAAACAGTAGAGCATCAATTATCCGACTCAATTGGGGACTGGGATTGATCAGATAACTGAAAAAACGAATAACCAAAAAGTATGAAAAAATACATTATTAGTATAGTATGTTAGTATATCCCATTTAATTAGTATATTATTATATTGCTATTAACCTACTTTACATTGAATTTTCATTGATGTTAAGCCTAACAAAATTTTTTAAAAATAATAATTGTTGCTATTGTATCGTTAAAAATTATTTTAAAATTATTTTATTGTTCACAAAACAAACAACCACTTATAATTAGAAAATTAAGCCTCATTTAAATAGTGGCCTCACTTTCATGGTTGAGCCAGTGTTGCCAGCTAAAACATGCAAAAATTTAACAAAAATAATATTAAAGTAGCCNAAACTTGTGCTAAAACTCATATCAATTCTGTTTTCAAAATTATTACTGTATTTAATTTTTATTAATCTTTAAGATTATTCTGTGACGTCAGCTGGAATATCGCGATATTTTCGTTTCGGTTTGCTAATCTGATATTTCTATATCCAATTTAAATTGCATTTATCACAAATGGTAATGCGCATCATGATCGTATCTGAGCGCCGTTGCGGTTCTCAAATATGCGTGAACGTTCTTGAGATTAATTGAGGATGTTGCAACTGTCTGGTCGTGTGGTATACATTGATCCACCCTTTTATTTTCCTATTGGTTCTTGCATAATATCAATTTGTAAAGGTCGTTGTACCCAAAAACTCAAGTAAATTCTTAAAATTTCATAGGTATTTATTTAAGTAAATACCAATATAGGAAATATTAAATTTTCATTATTAAAAACTAATATAGGATGTTACTTTAGAAATTTAAAAAGTGTTTTTTTTTAATTTGTTTTCAGTAAGGTTAAATATAGAAACTTTGGTCTGGTTGCTACATAGTAAGGAATTTCTTTTTATTACAGTAAGTGATTCAAATCTAAATCTGTTTCATTTTTCTTTTAACTCTATTTCCACATATGCACTAAGGTAGAGACAATCGAAAAGTATTAGTACAAAACTACCCTGTGTGAAAGCTATGAATTGGTACTGTCTAATATAAGCGTGCCTCAATTCCACACCACCATCCGAATGATGATGTGAATATACGCAATTAATACATAAAAATTTTTCCAAACTGGCGGTAATTGTTTAACTAGTTTGATTCCACCCTTCAAAGCTGGCATATCTCTAACATGAATCATCCAGTGAAACACCCAATAATACGAAGGATAAAAGTCTGGTACATGTGCATAAAATCAGATAATAAAAAAAAACACCGACTGGCTATTACGAGATTCATCCGCAATCATTAATTCCTCTTACCTAACTTTAACTAACGATATATGGGCCAAGGCAGGTCCAAAAATGGCTAAACGGGACATTGAACGGAACAAAAATGGCTATGTAGGACGTAGTGGAAAGCAGAATAACCTCACTTCTACCTATTAGGCGACCTTGATTTCACTTTGCTAGTCGTGTTTCCCCTTTCCTTCTTCAATAAGGTAATGCTTGTTCGAAGCGAGTGCGGAATTAGGCTGACTAATGTATAAAAAATTATCACTTCCATTATAGAATAATACAGTATATCAGTTTTATTAAACAGGTGATATTGTTTAGCGATGAAAAATTCCGCATAATAGCCTAAATAGAATGTAGAGTAGGTCTTTTTATGTAATATACTCTAAATATTTTTAGGTGCAATTATTTTTCTTTCGTAACTTGTTAATATTATTAAACGTTATCGTCAACAAAATAATGTTTTTTTTTTTCTTTCGCGATCTTGTTTAATTACAGATGAGAAGAGAGAAAATAAACAAATATTAGCTTAATCTAGATTAATTACAAGTATAACAGAAAATGAGTTATTCTGTCTCATTAACGGGCACTGATGATTATTATTAAGAAGCTAATAAATGTCAATAATAATTATGTATACGATGAGGATTAAAATTTTCAGCAAGATCTATGACTCACAACATAATAATATCTATAATTGATCGTTAAGTTAATCGCGTTAGATAAATGTATTATTAATACATATATTTTAAGTGATAATTTTTTCTCACGTTCATTTTTTTATCTTTAGTATAATAAAATATTTAATCACAAAGTCTATAACTTTAATATCAATCTACCATTTTAAATTATTATTAATTAAATTACAAAAAAAAGAAGAAAAAAACGTGAATCTATTCCTTATAATGTGTCACATGTAACAGGAGAGTTTGTTCAGAGTTATTGTTTACCAACAAGAATTGCACCCCTAGGCATTTTGTTATCAACAATGTCCTCAAGTTCAAGAGGGCAATGTTGATAACAACCTTCGACAACACATACAGTACATACACATATACACACACAAAAAAAAATCAATTTTCTTGCTATTTTCAATTCAAAACTTCAATTTATAATTTATAATTTTTTTTATATTTTATTTTAAATAAAAAGTTTTAATATTCAATTCATATTCACTTAATCATAAAAAAGTGATAATATTAAGCTTAATTTATACTCACAAGTCAGTATTTTATTTGTTTTCCTATATCAAATTAATAATTTTTTTTATTCGATAATAACATAAGTTATCCAATAAATTATAATAATGAACTAATAATTTAATAGCTATTTTTTTAAATTTATTATGTGATGAATAAATGTAAATATGCATAAATAAGAAAATTTTAAATGAGTTTGTTTTAAATTCTATAGCTTAATTAGGTTTTGTCGCCATCTGTTATCGTGAATATAAACTACATTAGCGTTAAAATAATTTTATATTATTAATAGAATTACAAGTCACCGACTTTCCGATGTAATGCATATCTAAAATTCGAACGATAAAGTTGTTATAAAATGTCGTATTAAAATACAAAACTTTTATTTTCCAATTAGAACCTTTTAAAACCATAAATTAAACAGAAAATAGAAGACAAAATTCATTTCTACGAATAATTTTGATGTTACTGAAGCCAAAACTG